GGCAACCAATTCACAGAGACAAATGCCTTTAACCTTTTCGTTAAGGGGAAAAAACACCTTTAGGACATCTTTACCCATTTTTTTTTTAATGCGGTCTAGGCACGCTAAGTAATATTTAACCTCTGGCATTACTTCTGGGATTTCTTAATGCCAGCTATCAAAGAATCCCATCTATAAAGGAGAGACAAATGAGTTTAACAACTGTACATAGCTACTCTAGTTGAAACATGCTTTGACGAGTCATTTGTGAATAACAGTAAAGCAGGATTGCAACTTGCCAGACACAAATGCTTTAGTATGAGGAGGAATGTTTAAAACATAGAAACCTGGTTGTCATGAGTTACAGTCACTATTGAATACCTAATAACAATGTTCCTTCTTTTAGAAAGCAGGGTGGCTTTTGAGGAAGCAAAGGGGGCTGTCCATTAATAATGCCGTTTATTTGTTGCTGAAGGTTTCCAAGTGATTGACAAAAGGCGGTACTGTTCAGTTCTAAGTGTTGCAAACCTGCAACTTCTAGGAACAGGTTTTCTTGAAGTCTTGTGTCATGGATGCAAGTGATTACAAGTGATCAGAAGGAAAATAAACTAAAGGGTGGGAAGTTCTGGAGTAAAAGTTCTTAACTTCTCCAATTTCTAGAGAAAGTTGTGAATATCGTGTGTAGATGCAAATCTAAATGGCAAATAAAGTGGATATCCAAATCAATTATACATTTACATATATCATAACTTGCAGGTGATTTATCTAGCTGTTTTATGGGTTTGAAGTTTTTAATAATTGTGATTAGAACACCTAAAGAGTTTCCCTGACCTTGCCATAAAGTATCAGTTTTTTCATGTTTTTTAATTATAGGATTAATATGTTAGCTTTTTGATTTGGATGATGCTACTATGAGAATTGCATCTGGTTCCTTCACTGCCCATTTCCTAATGGCTGTTGAAAATTTCTGGCAGGAGGCTTTTTTTTTTTTTCCCCCTTCCCAATTCAGTGGAGAAATAAGAAGTTAAAACTCAATACATGTTGAAATAATAACCTCAGGTATTCATTAGAACTTAAGTTGTTAAGATGCCAATAAAATTTACACTGATTCTTATGGCACACACTGTAGTGAAACTATTAACTATAACGAAGAAGAGACGGTCAAAAATTTCAGAACATTTTTGAAGTTTTAAAATGCAGTATGCAAAATGAAGTAGCTCATATTAGTTGCTAGGCAATTGCGCAGAATACTGGACTGCCATTCTTGCCAGGTATATTCAAAAGCATAAAATAAATCTACTGAATTGTTAGTTAGCTGAGTAGTCATTTGCCCAGCCTAATGACATACTGCAATTAAAGTGCTTGAATATTTATTCATAGCATCGCTTACATGCACACAGTTATGTTAAGGACATGATTACAAAGCAACCAAGTGTTCTGAGAACTCTCAATAGCTACATTTATATGTGTAATAGTTCAGTAAAAACGTGGAAAAAAACTCTTGCTTTTATTTTATTCTTTAAGCTCTGCAAGGATTAGCTCGTAAAAAGCTCAGTTTGTAGCTCGTTATAAGAAAAATTTTCTTGATGTTTTAGAGACTTGTGTACATCTTGGACTTCTTGTTGTAAGAGAAGGATAAATCTTTCTGTCTAACGGCACATGCAATTGCAAGTAAACTTGTCTTTATCCTTTCCTTGAGAAGCCTTTTGCTTACAACACTAAGTCACAAATGAAGTATCTCTTACAGCTAAGCCAATTCTGTCTCAATCTTGTGGGTAAAAGATGTCATTACTAATCAGGGTTTTCTTGGTACCGAGTTTACTGTGATTTTGAATTCCAATGTTAAACTGATTTCCTGCTCTTTCTTTCCCTTATTTTATTTCACTATGTTAAACTGCATTTGCAGAAATCTATTGCGAGGCTGTAGACACAGAACCAGTATCCTTATAAAATGTGCCCTGGCAATAAAAGGAAACCATGAGGGAGTGTTTGCTGGTTTTCAGGCCCCTGAGTGACAAATGAACTGGTTTTTGTCTTGTTACAGTGGAGCAAAGCAGTGTTCCTGGTTCTGCTGCCATGCAGCTGAGGTTTTGATTTGAATGTTTCCAACTGCAGTGGAGGAATGTAATAGCACAAGTATTTCTTAAAGTAAAAGGTGCTCCTTTTGAAAATTTCGGTGTGGTGAGAAAATTGAAGACAAGCATTTATTCCCCTCACTGAGTTTAAAGGGACACTGTGAACTTAAAATTCTAGATATTTGGAGGGGTTTTTTCTTCTTTAAAAAATTGTGGAAATGGCAGTGGTTTTTCTGCACCCTTTTGTGGTTTCTGTTTCCGATCCAGAAATGCTCTGTGAAGGACTTACACGAACTGATTCTTTTCTCCTTGATAACCGGGTCAATCAATTGACCATAAAGTGCTATTAAGCACAAGAGACAGCCTGATTGCCTGAGGAGAAAGAAACTAGAGGATGTCCAGCTGAATCACTGTGATTTAATAACTTACTACCTGTCAGCTGAGCTGCAGAAGTTGAGCTATTAGCCTGGCCAGTTGATAGATAAAATGAATTGAGTAAATCAATTAAAGAATTAAATCAAACTTTTTTTTTACCTTGCATTTGGAGTGGTATAACAGTCCACCTTTTTACTACTTCTCAGCTGAAACTTGTTAGTGCATTGTAAGCTGGTTGTGTGTTTTTACCCTCTATTGTGTTTAACAAGAGTAGGTAAAATACTCTAGGTAACAGCAGAAGCTTTTTTTCCTGTTTTTCTTTGACTGGGGCCTATCTGAAAGTTTCAAAGTCAGACATTAGTCTTCACCTAGTATGCTAAAAATGTGCTTTTTTCTAGCAAATTAAGCTTCATAAGTTCTCCTCTTCAGTTGTTTTCAAATTGCATGCTACTTCTCATGGCTTACATTTTTCAGTCATGAACTTTATTTTAATCCTTCAGGAAGTTAGATCTGTGAAACATTTTTGAAGATAAAAAATTGTTTCTTTTTAAACTGCTCTACAGTAGAAATGATTAGTAGTATAAATTGATATGTTCCAGGGAAGTATCTAGAGTAAAGTAATCCCTTTTTTCTCTCTGAGTGATCTAGAAATAAAATAATTTTATTTGGAAATAATTAGCTACTTGTGAGAAACCTTATTTTGCAGATGCTTAATGTATTTACTATTTAGTTTTTATTACTTTTGGAAAGTCACAGTTCAGTAAGATTATTGTGTATTGGCTGCTTAATAAAGGCATTGAAGTAATGATTTCAAAATCAGTATGCAGTTGATTCGTTTCGCTTTAAAACAATTCTCATTTCATCTTAGTTTCTTGCCTTGTGGGGTACTGCCATAGGTAGATATGTGAAATACTTGATAAGGAAGGTGCACGGTCAACTATGACTGCCACGTCCAGGCATTTTCCAACTTCCATGGAGTTAGAGAGGACGTTGGAGGGAATTTGCATGTAATTGAGGAGGAGGATCTTCCAAGTTCATGCTGAGAAAAATGAGAAAGGATCTGTGTTTAGCTTGCCCAGGGAAAGGAAAGGAGGTTGAACATTATGGAATGAATGGTCCTCCCCACCTTCTTTTCTCTAGTCTGATTCTATCTACTTGTGACCAAATACAGCGTTTTATTTTTTTACTTTGTGTTCAAGTCTCAATCCAGTACTAATCTGGGAGCTGTTAGAACGTGATAGAAGTGGCAATTTTCAAAGGTGTGATGCTAATTGGATCTCTGCAAGGACAGGGAAGCTATGCATGGATTATTGCTTCTTGTCCTCAGTGTGTAGCCTATTGCTTTTGCATCAGTTAAACCACTGCTTAAAAGACAGACAGTAGTAAAGTAATTAACTGTCCTGTGATGAGAGTTGTTCATTGCCTGGAGACCCGTTAATAACAGTACTAAAGATTCAGTAGTGGAGGTGAAATATTTCCTTTGATGTCAGAAATGAAAATAATAGCCAGTAACAACCACTTAAGATACTGAACAAACACAGAAAAATAATCGTATCCTACATGCATGGGCAATGCATCTTACTTTTCCTGTTGAACTTGAGAGCTACTCTGCCTGCCCATCCTTTCCCTTTACCCTGCGTTGCAGTAACCATCCCTTTTGTTGAAGAGGGCCAGACTCAACTCACTTGTCTCTTTGCCCCAATAACAGCATTAGATGTATTCTGGTCTTTAATTTACGACAGACTTTTTCTAGTTTTCCATCCTGTATTCTTCTTCGGGAGGCAGTCTTCTCTTTCTCTATTTAGTTACTTGTGATGATGGAACTAGCAATTTTAACTCCTTTTCCTTACCTCAGCATATTTTTGCTAGTCAGTGTAAATGTTGGATGATCAACAGCTGTAGCTTCCTCCTGACATCATTCTTGCCACTGGAGTATCTGGTCTCTGGTCTACAAAATAGTGACTAATAGTTTCTGTCATCTGAGCAGCATTTTCTGAACCCACTTTCTTGCCTATAGCTAACTTGTTTAGGTTTGAATTACTGCGTTTGTTTAATATGTAGCATTTTAAACCTAATGATCCAACTACAGATTTTTTTGTTCTGCTTTTACTGGAGTAGTTTAATAATAGTAAGTGTAGAAATGAAACAAACTTCCTAAGTTTAAAAAACCACCAAAGAAACATTTGTGACAACATGATTTTTCTTTAATTTAATGAGGTGAGACAGTTGAATTTGAAAGCTGGGTCAAAAGCTTATGTAATTTTGAGACCCTAAATATAGAGTGGTGTAATGACACAAAAAGATCAATCTCTGTGCATATGTTCTGGTAGAGTATTTTTGTTTTGTTCTTATTCTGTGCATGCAATTTAAAACTAAGCTGGATACCCTCTGCTTGGAAAAATGGTCTTGCTAATATTCCTATCTTATGCTATGTGACGATTTAAATTGACATGTAGCATGTAGATTTCTTTATTATAATTGTCTGGGTGTGGGGTCTTTGGGGTTTTTGTTTTGTTGATAGTAAAATTTCCATGTGGTCATTGTAAAATTTACCTTTTTTTTTTTTAATAGTAGTGGAATGGGGTGATGATGTTAAAGCAGTATCAGAAGATGAAGCCATGGTGCTGGTGAACCATCAAGCAACGGGTGATGTCTGCACTCTGATGATGTGCCTTCAGGATAAAGGCACGGTAGGCTACAACTGGGGAGTGGGATAGCTTCTGTGTATACGATCTGTTACCTTGGGTGTACTTGCATCTGTGTGCGGTACTGATTGACTTTTGTGTGTTAATCCACCAAATAATCTCAAGGCCCTGAATAGGAAACTTTTTGTTTAGATTTGGTTTAATGCGACAGCCGGTAGCTTGGAGCAGGTTTTAGACCATAAACACTGCCTTTGAAGAAGGTCAAATATGAGCTCAGTCAGTGTCCATCCAGTCTAGGTTAACACAGAGTGAAGCAGATCTTCTTGCAGTTAATCATGTACTTGACTTTTTCCTCTCACCTCATGCCCTTGTGCAACTCATGCCGACTTTGCTCAAACCAACACAGGTCTAGCTTCTTGGTTATGACTTTATTCCAGTGTGGAATTTTTCTCAAAGTTAGAAGCAAGTTGTGTGTGGGATTTTGGTAGGAGTTCAGAAACTGAAAGTGACTTCCCTATGAGGACATGTCCAAGCTAAGCTAGCTAGCTAAGGTTAAAATTGCTTGAGCTCTTATTTCACAAACTCTTAAGCATTTCTTGGTGAGAAGTGCAACTAATATCAATTGTTTCATGCATTGCTGTTCAGAAAATTCATGTCTAGGGAGTGTAGTGCTGGAAACTAGAGGCTGGGATCTAAACAGGAAATTAAATTTATGTGCAAATCAGGAGGAAGGGGTATATATGATTAGGCTACAAAGTGTGGGCGACATACCTGGCAAGCTGAAAAAATGCATCAGCTGTGTCTCTCCTAGCGTTGTCATCTTTCTTGCGACCATATGGTGAAGAAACAATGAAAACAACAACTGCTTTTTGTTGCGTCTGCATGACTTGTAACTGGCACTGTTTTTCTTAGTGTATATTAATATAGATTGTGTATACACTGTATCTCTACCAGTGATTTAATATTTTTTAGAAATTTTCCCAGATCTTACTTATGACAGCAGAGCTGATTTAAAAAAAAAACCCAAACCTCAAACAAACTAAACTCCAAAAAGAAAGTATGAAAATGCCACTCAAGATTGAGCAGACTAATTTATTTCTTTCTACTGTAGCCAAGAGAAGACTGTTTTAAAAGTACTTTTAATTGCTTTAATTTCCTTTGGCTTTGAGGAAGATAGGTACATATGGTATTCTGTACTATACCCCAATGAGTGGAGTGACAGAATAAACAAGCTTTAATTCCCTTCATCAAAATTATGCATAGGACAATCTTGTGATAAAGATATGACTCTGAGGGGAAAGTCCTGTGGATATATATTGCATATAATCTTGACTATTGATGTCCCGGGTGTTTAAAATATCATAAAGCTTCATTGACTCATGTATGTATACTAGTGTATATATAAATCTAAGCCATGTTTATCCTCTTTGACTCTATAGCTAAAAAGTTTCAGTCAGGACGGAGTAAGTTTCAGTGAATGTAGAAGGTGTTAAAAATGGAGGGAAGGCATTGAGATGGCAAATAATCTTCACCATGGAAACTGTTAGGTTTGCACGTTTTCAGAAGAACAAAACATCCTTAAAATCAGTATTTTTTCCCTTAAGTAATTGCAGTCATTGCTCTTGGAATATACGTGTCCAGAGCCTAGTATGGCTTTAATGTTTTTAGCTAATAAAGAAATAAAAAAAGTATGAGCTTCAACACATGCTTAAAATATAGCATAAGTAGTACAAGTGGCTAAAAATAATGAGAGAGATCAGGATAGTTTATCCTTTATAGAACTTGCTGATTCAGGTGTTTTAAATAGCATGCTTCATATTTCTGAACAGAAAAATTGTGTTTACTTTGAGTGACTGTGAAACCCTGGAGGAAAAAAAAAACAAACCAACCTACCTGTCCGAAAGACATTATTATACAATAGGCAACTATTTAAATTAGGCAGTTTTCTTTAAATACAGTTTAAATTTGAGTCCTTCACAACCTTAATATTCATCTGTTAGTAACAAGATAATAATTTCCTAGCATTGTTTTTATTTTGTTTAGGACGGTTAAGCTGCGCTAATTCCTAAACGCTTTACCACTCAGACAACACTTTTTAGCTCTCAAAGTATTTTGTGACGGTGAAAGGCTCACTTCCATTTCACACAGAAGGTCATACAAAGAAGTAGAACAGCTTACCAAAGGTGGCCTCTCGGCGGTGATGGTGCAGTGGCAGAACTAGGAAGACCTTCCTCCTGTAGCAGTCCAAAATTTCTTTTGCTTGCTTTTGCCAGCCAATACAGACAGAAACTGGATGTAATTTGCAAGCACTTACTGTTTAATGCTGCTTTTTAAAAAATGTTAATTTAAGACATCAGAAGTGTTCTATTTAAAGTTCTATGTTTTTCTGTGTAGTGAGGTAGAATACTGAAATGTTCTTGCAACTTGACAATGTTTCCTAAGGGCCATGTCAGGAACTGTGATGGTATTTTTTCTAGTATTTTATAAATTCTTATATACAAATGATAGTATAGCGTATCTGTTTTAGGCAAATTTAATCTCACTAAGCAGTAAGCTAAAATACATGCGTTAAGATGTTTCTTTTCTTTCAGATTCACTTACGTGAATAAGGAAAACATGATCTCTTATTAGGGAAGTGGGACTTGGCTAAAAGTTACAATTTTAATGAAAGGACTGGACTGGTATTGTTTGACTAATACATGTTACCATAAGACAAGCCACACAGAGCAAGGTTTCAGCTGAATCAGAAGTGACCTAATTACACTTTTTATATAGTACAAGAAATTGTTCCAATTTGTTTGTGAAAGTAAATGTTAAAACAAACTTAGTAAGTTAGTTGAGGTCTCGTTAACATTAAAGGTTATGTGTTTAACAAAGAGCAGTAGGTTAAAATGCTGCTATTACTGCTATCTGACTGGATTAGGACTGATAAATGTGGCTATTTTTTCTGGTTTAGAGCAGAAAGCAGTGCCAGGAAGGGTGCAGTGGAGAGAAAAAAGTAGAACTTGGAACTGTTTGAGTGCAAGTTTCAAGACACGTGTCCCCAGGTTTCATTGTTAAGTTAGAGGTGCTTGAAAGATGAAAGTCAAGTCTATTCAGGTTGCTTTGTTATGAAATCTATGTAGAGTGAAATGAAGGTGGGCCTGTGAATAGGAGGCACCTAGACTTTTTTATAAAATTGGTAAAAGGTTTTTCCACATCCTGAACTTACTTAAGCAGGAAGGATGAAGCAAAAGCAACCTGAAATGGCATCAAAAAATTCTTTCAATCCATAACCAGCTGTGAATCTGTGCTCAAAACGCTTCTGAATGTCTTTGCTTAAACCTCCTTGAAATGCAAGTGATAAGAGACTCATCTGATAGGCGTTGTTTCATTCCTGAGGATACTAAATGGAAGAGCCACCACCAGTATCTTGCAGTGTCCTCTCTTCTGCCCTTGGTAGCAGAACAGAATGAATATTCATTAATCTAATTTGCCTTTTGATTGCAAACAAAGTAATTGTGTCCTATTCTTTGAACTCCTCCTTTTTTATTTTATGTGTTAGAGTGTGTGTGTATATTTATTAATTCATACATAAAAATATTTCCTCTTTGTACTTCTTACCACTGCCTAGGCTTATAGGCAGATTTGTAATCACTGAGCTCCCTGGAGTTTGCCTCTTTGTAGCCCACTTGCAGCAAACTGCCTGTACGTTTTGTCTCAGTTAACTTGTATGTCACACTGAACTTTGACACAATCACATTGCTTCTCAAAAAGACTGAGGAAGTCCAGAGATGCTAGTTAGAAGCCCTGTGTCACTTAAAACGTGGTGAGATGGACTTCAGACTCTGAAAAGCAATGATCAACTTTCAGGATAAACCTACCGTCATCTAAATAAAAAGACAATAAAAAGTGGTATGGGAGCAGAGAAGCACTAGCATTGCTGGGCAAGAGTTCCTCCTCCAGGATTGCCATAGAACATCTAGGGACCAGTGTTGACTCCTCAAAAGATACAATCTGCTTCCCTGAAAAGAAAAAGTTTAAGCTTGCTTATCTCCTCCAGTAAAATAGATTTATGTTGGGTTAACTTCTGCTTGATATAATAGAACAATAATTGTCAAAATGCCAAAGTAGTAGATGAACACAGAGTCATATGGGTACTGCTGCAGGCTAAATCATCATCAGTGGAATTTTGGTGGTGTTTTCATCAAAGGATATGTTTCCCTACACCAGCCTGTCATTTTTGGGCTGGTGCGTGGGCACGAACTTACGATATTGTAGTGCCTCGAAGGGCAGTAACACCTCTCAGTGATGCTTTTTTTTTTAACTCTTGTCCTTAGGGCACACCTTTTCTTTCTTCTTTTTCCCCTCCCTAAGGCTTTCTAATTTACTGAAATGGAAAGAATGTGAATCTCTGCAGAGAAGAATTTTTGCTTAAAGATCCTCTCTTTTATTTAACACAGGCCCAGGGATAGCTGTATGAGAAACCATTTCACCAATGGGGAAAGTGGGGAGTGATATCTAGCAACTAATTTTTCTTCAATCCCTTACAAATTCATAGTGTGTCTTTGTTCCCTTGGATGTGTAGCATCCAGTAAGAAATACCACTGGCAAACAGGAAAGGATACTAGCATGTCACAGAGAAGAAATGGATGCTTGTTTCCAAAGCAAACTTTCATATCTTTGAGAGCTGTCCTTTCCTCTCAGTCCTGGTTTTCTTTTCCACTTCCAGTGATGCTAGAGGGTCCAAAAATGGGTGCTCTTGCATTATCTAAGATCTTCAAATAGAAAGTTTGCTAGTATTAAAAACCCACAAAAGTTGAGGTGTTCTTAATGTGCTCTTAGGCAAGGATAGCTAGCTTCTAAATGTGACATTCAGATTTCGCTGGGAGATCAGCTATATGTCTAAGGCAATAAAGTATCTTAAACGTTCTTTGGCAAGTATGTTCTTGCAAGGGTGTAAAAACTTCACTTTGCTGAGCATCCGGCCACAGTTGTTTAAGGATAAGTAAAAGAAACAGGGTATGTGACAGTTACCTGTCTCCAAATATATAACCCAAGATTCATTTATAGCTTCTGTGGTCAAAAGGGAGAATAGGTAATGAGAGCACTCCAAGATATAATTAGATTTCTTTGGAAGAAAGACTTACTGATACATGCAATTCTAGATACAAATTGCAAATTATCAAGCTGCTTTTACAAAACAGAATTCCTGCATGAAATATGATCTGCTTCTTTCTACAAATTCTACATAGACATGTGAAGATGTGAAAACAGGTAAAAGCCACCATCTTTCACTGTATGAAACTATTTTGTTAAAGGTATTGTTGAAGGCATGGATGTGGATTCCGAGTATTTCAGTTACTGTGCAAGCCTCTGGTATTTGGAGAGAAGCGCAGAGTACACTTTTAGCAGTAGATGTAATCAACTAATATGAACAATACATTGTATTTTCTAGAGGAAATCTTTATTTCTTAGACTGCTTTTTTTCTGTCTTTGCCTCAAACTATGTATCTTGGACAACTGAAAGATGCCAAGCAGAAGGTGCCTGTTTAAGATTCAAATAATGATCTTCTGACTACCAGAGAAATGTCATGGTTCTCCGTATGCTTTTTTGATAGCGGTAAATGGAAGAGTATTATGTTATATGACTTTAAGTTTCACTGAACTTGAATCAGTCTTGGTGTGGCCTTATAACACAGGGAAGAGTAAAGGCAGCTAGCCTCGTGCATGATTGAGAGCATGTAAGAGACACTGGATTTTCCAGTTTTGGAGAGCCAATTCCTACCCCTCTCAAAATCTACATGTAGGAGCCATAGAGGGGAAAGACTTTGTGAGAGAAGAAGCTTTTCCCTTCTGTTATTTACCTCTTCTGGAGTAATTCTTCTATTTTAAGTCTCAAAGAACTGAACAGATACAGTATCTGCCTTCACTGTCCTGTAAGAAGCGATAGTCAAAGTGAATCTAATGGCTCAACCTCTATTTTTGCCTTCTTACTGTGCTTCTTGGCCAGGACAAGGAGCATGACTTAATGAAATTCTCAGGGATGCATGTGGCTGCTCTGCCACATGAGAGAAATCAGTAATGGCATGTGGGCTGTACATAGGTCTCAGTGAATGCTGCTGTTTAAAGATAGAGTGAGCACGTACGGAGCATGTGCACATCAGAAGCACGAGAACAACATGATCTCATCCCCAAAATCACCCAGTACAAAAAAATATAAGGAAACATGTTTTTGTGGTAGACATAAAACAGTTGGAGATTTCAAATACAGATCTGTATTGTTTTGTGTACTTTAACAAACGCTGAAAATGGTTTTAGTTTGCAACTGGCTTAAAATTGTGATGGTATGTCAATAAGAAGAATTAGACTACCTGTGTGAAAAGGCAGAGTAGAACTACTCTAGCATATGGCTAATAGTGTAGAACTGTATATTATATTACAAAAAGGCAGCTATTTAATCCTGCTCTTGATGGAGAAGTGTAGCACTTGTGCTGCTTTATACTTTGGGGCGTAAAGGACTTTATTCCATATATTTGCTAGTTTTATTGCTGTTGTGAGGGTGATGAGAATGTGACCAGTATATACATAATTCTCTGCACTTGATATTTACTAAACTTTTTTTTTTAACTTTTCAGGTTGTCCGTCAGATGATGTGGCTGATGGATCATATTTTTAAGTATACAAACTTTGGCATTGTATCTCTAATCCATGGAGACTTCTTTATAAGACAGGTAAATGGAAACACATAATAGTGTTTTGATTTACCCTTATATTTGCAACATTGTGGTGTTGTGGGACTTACTCATTACCTCCTGGATGGTTTGCAGGATGAAATAACTATGCTATAATGTGTGTATTTGGGTAGAGCTTTGTTCTGAAACTGCTTTTTTTCCAAGTTTATTTTATTATTTGCCTAGACACAAACGTTTACAGAACCCAGTTATGATGGGAGCCTTTTATGAGAGAGGTGTACAAGAAAAGTACATGGGCAGTCCTTTTTCTCTCTCGTTTCTGACTGCCCATTGTTGGTGCCTCTCTTCTTTCCTTAGTGACCTTGAAGCTGTGCAATGAGTCTGGTTAGGTCACTGTTCTGACTGTCAGAGTTTGAGATAAGGAAAGGCAGGACCATCCCTTTTGACGGTGACATGGTGGTAGACCAGTTTAACGTGGTGATGGACCTGCATAAATAGTAATTAATTGATTCTTGAAGGTTAATTATTATTTGAGCATCAGGAAGGAATGTGTGTTGAGCCCAGCATCTCAAATGTTAAGGAGTGAAAACCTCAGATTATTTCTTAAAATTTGGGGTTGTTTTTGTTGTTTGGTAGCTGTTGATCAAACTGCACTCTGAAAGTAGAAACTTAGAAGTACAATGATAAGCGTGAACCTGCTGCCAGTTATGTGAACTGCGACATCCAGCATACACGTTTCTTTCCTGTCCTTATTTTTATTTGTCTGGACTTAAAATGTATGGCCAGCTGGAGAGAATTAATGAATTTTCACTTTACAGAGAAGGAGAAGCTAATTTACTCAGAATGAAATAAAGAAATACTTAATCACAGCTATACACAGCTAAAGTGAGATTTCTCACTAAGACTAGAGGCATGGTTAGAAAACCTCAGGTAAAATTATGTAATAAAATAAAGGTCTCTAGAGATATACAACTGTGTACTGTGAGAGTATGGAAAGGAACAGGGCTTGACACTTTGTAAAATATAAATCTATTTCAGTAGTTAAAATTCACAAGATACACATTTTGAGGTCCACGTGGCTGTCAGCTTATTAATTGTAACTTCTGAATGTGGTGTTGCAATTCCAGTTACAAAACCAAACCATTACTTAGCTGCAAAAACTAAGGCTTTTCCTCATTTTTGTAAAGTGGCTGAGATATGCAACATCACAAATAAAACGATGTCATCATGAGTCTAAATATAAACCAATTGAAAAGAAAATGTTTCTTGGCTGTTAATTAACCTTTGGGTGTAGCAAAAACACTTCAGGTGAGTGAGTAATGATCCTTTGCCTAACTATAGAAAGGCCCTAGTAATATTTGGATGAGCAAATACTTCTTTTTTTCTTTTTTCCCCCTGCAAAATAAGGTAATTTGATCATGGTACAATACATCCTATTTGTTAAAAATGTACATTAGCCTCATTTTCATGAGCAGCACCAATGGCACTTTTAGGAATGCTTCTGAGGTCTACTAGAAGTTGACTAGTGTTTTCTCTTCTTCCATTGAAAAGTTTACTGGAAACCGAGACTATCAGTAACTTGCCATACCGGTGATGCAAAGTGCATTGCATCCTAAAGAATTTGTCAGCAGTCTCCTGCTACCTGTTTTCTTTCCTCTAAAGGAAAGAAGGCTGAGCCTGTTCCCTGTGACGGTGATCAACTACCCATGGTCTTCAAGAATTGGTTGTACTAAGGAGCTGCTTCTGCTTCTGTATGACTTACTTTTCTCTTCTTTCTGGACAGTATGTTAATTGCATTTTATCTTCCAGTCCACTAGTGGACTCTTCAGTATTCCACTAGTCACGGCTGCTTTTAAACGCTCCTCTCTTTCCCATTGTTCCAGTAGATTTTTCTGTATCGCAGCAGCATCTTAAACCTCACGGTATTTGCTAAACGGCAGTTTATCACCAGTTATATCCGTTAGGTTTCTTTAGGTTTTGGAGAGTTCTAATATCTAACATGTGAAAAGTTTATTGTTCACTGCTGTTTGTTTTTCAACTACTGTGCTATCCTGGAGTCCTGTGGTCTGGTGGGAAAGGACTGTTTTAACTAAGGAACTTTTATATTGCTCTTTAGTTGCGTTAAAATGAGCAGGCAGAGCTTTTTCCTTCCTTTTCATGAGGTAAGTTGGAAGTAATTGCAATCATGAGATTTCAAAACCTAGGAGAAACACTTTCACAAAACCTGTCTTCAATAAAATACCGTTTCTTGTTGTCTTCCACTCAACCCCACTCTTTCCCTCTTCCCTGCCAAAAAAACCCAACCACCAAAGAGTGGAAGGTTTTGTTGACATTTCACAGAATTAAAATCACCTCTGCTGAGGGAAGCTTAAGTTTTGGACTCCTGTGTCTTTTGAGTGATACGACAAAGTCACTTTGGAGCACTCAAAAATTATAATTTATGTAAATTAATTCCTGTGAAAATTTGAGTAGCTTGCTCTTGCTGTGTGTGGAAGTGGGAAGAGAAGAGATTGTTGTTGAAGATATTGAAGATATTTCTGCAGTAATTAAGGACAAACCTTACTGTCTTAAGTGAAAAAGTTGTGCTAGTACATCAAAGAGGAGAAATGAATGAGGGTTGGTTTGGTTTTTTTTCTCCCCCCCTTGGTCCTTCAGGTTTAATTATCACCTGGTTATATCCTATATACAGCTAATTATCAAACTAGAAGCTGGTGTCATACAATATCTTGTTGGCTAGGGCATCTCATTTTTATTGTTGTAGGCTTTCTTTAAGTTCACACAAATAAAATCACTTCCTACTCAAGTTTCTCCTAGAGGAAGAAAACCTGCAAACATCCCTGCCCCCCCCCCCCCGCCTCCGGCTCAAACAATAAGTGTTTCCATCAGTGTGCTGATTTCAGCTGAGACTAAGCATTCAAGCAGCACAGGTTTGGGAGAAATCTGTGGTTCTGCTGTGGTAACTGAACTCAAGCCTGGTCTCAAGGTCCGGCTGTGTCTTCTGGTACCTCTGCTATTCTAATACAGGATGCGGGGAGAGGTGCGTAGAAGATATGTAAGCAAAGATACTGTTTGGCTTGCAGAAATTACTGATGATACGTGGACCTCCAAATCATAGCTTGACCCCTAGATTGTCTTTGCAGAAATCAGTTTAGCAAATTCGACTTGGGACACAGTAACAACTAGGGAATTCTGTAAATACATCCTTCTGTTATGTGGAGTTCCCGTTTATAGTCTGGATGTCGCTCTTGTGGAGAAGTCATCAAATTGGGAGCTTCATCCTCAATTTCAAAGGCTTTTTTTCAGCCTTTCTGTAAAGTGGCATTAACTCAGCCACCAGTGGGTACTCTGGGAACATTGTTTTGTGTTGTCATAGAGGCTTATTTGTATCTCTGAAAAGAGAGAGAAATCATAGAAATGTAATCATTATCTGTCTTAATGTTATCTCTTTTAAGCATTCATTTTATTTCGGTAATGCTTTATCTTTATAGGGAAAAGCACACCGTGACCAGCAGCTTGTGTTACTCAAGGAGCATCTAGAAAAATATTACAGGAGCCGTAATCGGAAATGGATTGTTTTATTTCCAGAGGGTGGCTTCCTTAGGAAAAGGAGAGAAACAAGCCAGGCATTTGCCAAGAAAAACAATTTGCCATTTCTTAAACATGTCACCCTGCCGAGACTTGGGGCAACACAAGTAATTCTGAAAACGCTTGTAGCACCGCAAGAAAATGGAACTCCAGCAGGTAGAGACACTGTGATAAAAGGTAAAGACCACTTTAGTCTTGTGGATAAAAAGCAAATTGAATGGCCAAGATTTGAGTTAAACAAAACGTTTTGTGTTGAATTGGTCTCTTTAAATGTCAAATACATCCATAATGCACCATCATATTTACATGAATGTTTTCATATTTGCTTTTAGTTCCACTAAGTTTGTTTTCTATGTTGAGACACACAAAAAAAGAAAATTTTAGTTTTAATTTGATTTAGTCTATAGTGTGGCTGCATGAATGTTTGTCTTGGTACACGTGATGGGTAGAGCAGATAGTGGAACGAGCACCCGGTGTGGGCAAGAAGGTGGGCTGCTCCTTTCAGCATGATTGATGGTTTGCACTGGTTTATGGTAGTATGGAACTACAGTAGAAGTATTTCTGGAATATGCAAACTATGTTCAAATTTTTATTCCTGGCTTTGAAAGTTTCTTTCCACCCAGTACTGTATACTTCATTCCTCTTCTTGAACTGTTTTCTATTGAGTTCAAGTTCCTTTATCCTCTATAGATTTTTATGATGACTGTCCCCTTTGTTGCTGGAGTTAACTGTCACTGATGACTAGATTTGAAGGATTGTTTGGCTGTCTTATGTTGGAAGAGCTATGAGGGAATAAGAATATTCCTGCAGCATTATTGTTCTGGGATGCCTGGGCTGTAGGGGAGAGTATAGCTGGGATATAAATTATGCCTGTAGTTACAGGACTTGGTGCTTTTAGTCTCTCAATTTTTAAAATTAACTTCTTGGCATGTTCAGAGAGTGGGGTTAGATCTTACTTAGCCTAGTAAGTTAGTATTTCTGTTACTTATTATAGAAACAATGGATGGGGGGGTTGTGGTGGTTTCTTATTGATGGGTGGTGCTGGTATTTCCACAGCCAAATTATTATGATCGTTTAGCAGTTTGAACCAAAGATCCATCCTAATGAAGCCACATATGCAGATGACTTTGGGTTTTTTTCTGTGCTGAAGTTCAAATTTCAGGGTTAGCAGGAAACCTCATACTGAAATTGCTTCCAGATTTTTAGTTTTGAAGTTAATCTTGTCAACATAGGAAATGAATGGAGATGATGTTTTTGCAGATGTGGAGGGAAGATTTTAAATGAAAATAAAATCAAGCTATGGAATGCATCAGAATATTTTGTTTCAGGCTACATTCAGAAAAGAAAGTCTGAAGAAAGCCCTTGTTGTCTTAGAAGATTTTAGGTTTAAAAGAGAAACAGAATAGCCTAGTCCCTGTTAAAAGTTATTTTTTTAAGGAGAAAAGTTTGGCCTGTTCCTGTTCTATTTATTCCCATATCAAAGGCAAAAAGATATGAAAAGTAAGAAGTTCCCCAAATGTGAATTACAGGCCTTCTAGTTCTGGAAGGGGACCAAAAGCGCTCGTCAAATACCAATTTTATATTTTCATACTCTTGGATTGCTATCAACTTAGCTGAACATCAAATCTGGCTTCTTTCTTCTTTGATCATGGCATGATTCAGACTCTGGAGAAATGAGCATTTGATAGTGGTTGACCTAGCTGAGTACTAAAATAAAGGAATTGTCTCAGAAATACAATGGAACCACTTCTGTCCATCCTACTCAAAAGACAGACGGAAAGATAAGTGGGCAAAAATAGGAAAGAAACGTGTGGGTTTAGCTATCATTCTTTCAGAGTAATGGACATGAAAACATAATAAAAGGGATGAAAAAGAGAAGTGAAAGTAAATTTTATATGCTAGGAAAGAGTAATATTTGATACATATGAAGCTGAGGTATTTTGAGTCCTCTCTTCTCTTAAGCTCACGAAAATGTTTCTAGCATGGTAAAACTTCCCTTTCAGAGATGTACGAAAGGTTAATTCTTGATCTATATCTTATATAAAAGACTCTTCCTAATCTTCTGCCTTCCAAATGCTTTTACTGTACTCTTGCTACTTCAGAAAATTTTTGAAGAATGTTTGTTCAGTTAAATGAAATATAATTGTGTAAATTGATAAGGTTATATTATAAAGTTAGAAGCCTAACAAATTAGTGATCTTTATTTTTTTTATCTGTTTTATCTTTCCCTTTTTTTTAACCACATGAAAAAACCTGGCTCAGTGAAATCAAACTTGCCTGTATCCTCTTTGGGTTACCATTTTTGAGTTGTGGGTGCTAGAACTAGGTGTAGTATATACAGTAAAGGTTTTGCCAGTGTCTTGCATAGAGATTGCGTATACACTTTTTGTACATTATTACTGTACTCCTTGGCTTGGGAAGTGGCTTGTGTGTCAGTAGCATCGCACTTGAACTTCATGGTTCACTGAAAACATTTTTCCTCTGCACCACTTCTTCTTGTGCTCTCTACTGTCTTATTTAACAATGTTCCTGGTGTCCCGAGTTACCAAATTATTCATCTTACTATAATAAGCTTTCTTCTCCATTATTTATCGCCCTCTCAGTCTTTTTGTTACCGCCCATCTTTACTGATAATGATGGGGTTCACCTTTCTCCCCCACGTGATTTTAGTTAAATTGGTTTATAGATTAAGAGGAACTCCTCCTCATCAAAAATTATGTCCCCTTCCTGTTGAGTTTCCTGGGTAGCTATGTTATGATAAGTCATGATACACAGTTGCGGCCTTCTTGAGTGTTGTCATTTTATTAGTACTTACTTAATTTAAAATTATCCTTGTAGCTTTTATACCATTGTAGATTTTATACCGTTCTACTTTCTCAACTGGAATGGTGTGTAATACTGGGTGAAAGAAGAAAAGATGACACAAGCAACTATAATAAAAGACGGTTCATTCTTAATATACTGCTATGCTGCACCCTGATTTGGTACAAACCAAGTTTCATACAGTTGTTTCATCATGTCACCTGCCCTACTCCCCAGCCCACTAGCTTGCTTTTGTACATAAATGTGACTGGAGTTACAGCCTTCAAACAGTAGTTCAAGAATTGTGCAACAGGTAAATGCTACCTCATCTGTCCTTCTTCTGTAAGGTCTCTAATCTGATTTCTGTCATCCCTTTGGTAGAGGCGGGTTTATGTTGTGAAGTGTGAGGTTCGGTAGCCTCCCCAAAATTTCATTAGCCTTAATTATGATATTAGTATTCTTAATATCCGATCCCCTTTCCAGTTTATTTTTGTACTAGTTATGAATTTCCCACAGCTTATTACCTGATTCTTCCTCTCTAAAGTGACAAGAAGAACAAATGGTCCTGAGCTAGACGATCAATACTATTTGATTATTCTTGTGCTTAAACTGATCAGTTCTTTATCGGTTGCTTTTCCAAGGCAAGCAGCCTCTATTTTCTTAATTTCCTCCTCCCAACAGTTTTCCAAGCCTTCTTTCATATTAAAGTCCCAAGTACTAGCCTTCATCGGAGTGAAATTTAACTTATTGCTGGTAAATACTAAATTAAATGACTAAAACAGTTGTTGCTTTTGCTGCCTTTTGAAACACTTGTTTAATTTTAACGAAATTGTACAATTCTATTCATAAATAAATAGAAGGATGGAAAAACATATAGGAAAGGTAATACTATCACTTGATGGCTTGAGTGCTTTTGAAGCTAGAAAGTACAGACAATGTAGTTAATTGATGTCTCTCCCTGAAAATATGGTTAATCTGGTGTCTGATGAAAGCAAAGTTAATTCTGGTGTCTGATGAAAGCATCCCTCTGGGCAGATGTGCTGTGCCCCCCAAACAAAGCGCTGCTGCCAGTGCCTGTGTTCTGGGAGAAGGTTTTAGTGCAGAGTAGGAATATGGGCAGCATAAAAATACTTGATTCATAGCCATCATCACCTTAACCCTGTAGGGACTGCTGGGGGGGGGTGTGTGTATTGTTTTATGGTTTGGTTTTGTTTAATTTTTTAACAGAACGCTTAGTCTCTGACATAGTTGCAAGTACAATGTTTCTTCGGTTAAGAATTGATTTTCTTGTGAGTTTTAGAACTAGCAAAATGTTCTAAGTGCTAAACAGCTGGCAATTCAAAGGAGTTTGGAGCAATTGTTCACTGAAGGTATGTGTTCCAGAGCTTATTTTTGATCAACTTTGCTCTAGTATGTTTTTTTTAATTCTGCTTTATTTTACCATGCAGCAATTTTTTTGTCTGATAAGAGGTTGCTTTGAGCTTGGTTAGAGTCATACTGAAATCTTATCTTACTGTTTTCAAATGCAGCACAGTACATTCAGTTCTGATGCTTTTTCTCAGAGAAATTAAATTTTCCCTTCTGCAGAGCTGGACACTGGACTTCGTAATTGATTTTTTTTTTTAATCAAACTTTTTGATTCACTGTTATATGAGGAATGTGACTTGAATAACATGTGGGAAGGCTTTTTTTTTATCCTGGGAAAGGGGCATCTTGTTTTGTTCCAGGTGATTTGTTACAGAGATATCTTGAGATAATGAGTAAGATGTTCAGTCTGAGAGCTAATCTTTGGGAAAAGAGTTAATTTTAAGGTCAGTGGTCCAGCTGATCACACGAGGACAAGTAGAGGACAAGTGGCAAGTTACAAGAATGCATTGCTGTGCAGGGGGAGGCAACAGCCTCTTTTGGCTGCGTTGAGAGTGATGTAAGTGTTCAGGAAACTACACCTGAATACTAGTGAATGCTAGTAAATATTTTCTTTTTCAAGTGGAAGCTGTGGTACTCAGGTTCACGCCTGGCTGGTGCATTCTTTTCCACTCTGGATGCAGTCTGGCAGTATCGCACCATCCAGAGCTCGGCTGGAGGCAAGGTTTCCTGCTGAAACCTGTCTTTATAACTTGCTCTTTTTCTCAGTGGTAAACACGACAGTCTGCTGGTGGGTTTGAAGAGTCCTGCGCATAGTCAAATCTGGCTTTTAGCACTGGTTGAGAGTAACCCCAGGGAGGACATAGAGGGGATGAAGAGAAGCTCTGAACACCACTAAATTTGTAGATAATCAAGTATCTGCTGTGAGAGGACCATGGAGGATGATGGAGCACTGAATGTCTTGAAGACGCTGATGGTAAGTTGCTTCCTAACTAAATACGAAGCAACTTACTATCACTGAATCCACAGCTAGAACAAAAATAAGAAAAAAAAAAAAAAAGTTACAAAGATTTGCCTCTACTGGTGATTTTAAAAAAAAAAAACCCAAAAACCAACAAGTAGGAGGCTGTTTAAATTTTGTTTTGATTTTTTTTTGTCTAGGCCAGAAAGGTACTGTTTGTGATTGTTCAGTCTTGTGTTAGCACTCATCAGGCAAGTATGTTGCCTCTACTGGTGATTTTAAAAAAAAAAAACCCAAAACCAACAAGTTAGGAGGCTGTTTAAATTTTGTTTTGATTTTTTTTTGTCTAGGCCAGAAAGCTACTGTTACATGTGATTGTTCAGTCTTGTGTTAGCACTCATAAGGCAAGTATGTACCATTCATACTAAGGTACATTATTACTACGTGGTTTGGATCCAACTGTGTAGGACAGGTGCCTGCAGGCCTGTTTTGAACATTTATGTACTACTTAAAAAGAATCAGACTGCTAACATTCTGAGGCGATTTGAGAAATTAAAATCCTCCACCTGTGCTGAAAGTGGCAAGCAGACTGACACCACAGAAGAAAAACTAGTCCTCAGAGAGATCAGCTTAAATTTGGCCTCTGCAGCAGTTTCTTCTGCCGAAGTCTCTAGCAGCCAGGCTGCTCAGTCTTTCAGCAGGTACTAGAAATGAAGGATGAGGCTGTCTTTTAATGGTAGGTGGAAAGTTCAAAAGGGTTTGTCTGTCACAAACGTCTGTGGCTGTGTTGGCCAAGCCAAACTTGGCAAGAGGAGTTCTTGAACAGGTATACGCAACTCCCTTTTTTCCAGCTGCAAATGCCAGACCTGAGATTCACACCATATTATAACTAATGCAGCAGTCTTTCTGTTCTGACTTCCTGTTAGTGTGCTCCATTTGAAAAATAATAGGGTTTATTCTTGTTCAAAGGTCTGCTTAGGCTTGAAAGCAGCATCCTCAGGCATACTGAGGTCCTACCCCTGTGTGTTGTGTGCGGTTTTCTGTTTCTTTTTCAGTTTCAGGATCTGTTAGAGCTTCGTGACTTTAAAATAAATATGCTCATGAGCAGGGTGCAACACAGTATAACCCCCCCAAAAGGACAGCAAGATTTATTTCAAAATTAATTTTCTGAAATCCTTGGTGACTTAGGGTTTTTTGGCAGTATGAGATCTTGGATGATTATGTAAGGCTTATTTTAAACCAGAGCATGCAGAAATATGCCGGTGACGGTGATTTGATAGCACGTCTTGGTGATTGCATGTGGAGGTAGCTATGCTAAGACTTGCTTGCTCTAAAGGAGGGTCTATGAAGGCTGACATTACCTTCAGAATTTTTTTTTTTCTTTTTCTTTCTTTCCTAACCTGGGGTTCCTGGTGGGCTGTCAGAGGCAGGTTTTTCTGCCACCCTGCCCTGGAAGGGACTGGAGGTGAATTTGGAGCTGGTCTGAGGAATCCATGCGGCAGCTCTGCTCCACAAAAGCAGAAAGTAGGAAACAGCACAGAAGAGGACTGCAGGAGTCTTTCCATACTGAAGTTTGAACCATTATCCACTGAAAGAACAGTTTGAAATACTAGCTAAATATTTAATAAATGATTTTAAAACATTTTACTGTAAATAATAAGATAATGTGCCCGTATTCATCTGGCACTTTTTAATTGCAATTAATGATCTTTGTTGCTTACTCACTTAGACAATTTACTTGTATTTATCCATTCTTACTTTACATCTGGGAAAATAGTAAATTGAATGGCTTTGTTCCGAAATCCATTTCTAAATGAATACTTCTGTGGATTTACTATTAATTTCATATTGGCTTTTCTCTAATACATTGCTACTTTTAAAATGAAGGACTCTGTAGTTAGTGCTTTTCTTAAGAGAGACTTGATAAGCACTCTGTCATGATGCTGGCAAGCCTGGAGCCTCTAATGGGACCTCGTGTTCTCATTTCACGTGTCTGTCAGGGTTTTAAAATACTGTATTTCCAGAAGGTGACACTGGGTGTTTCAGCTTGACCTGCGTAGCTTGCACTTGGTCAAATTGTGGAATAGCACATTGCATACTACTAATAACTCATAGCCTAGATATTAGGAAATACTGTCTAGCCTTATTCAGGTAGTGTATTTGCATTTGTAACCAAGTAGTACAACTCCATTGTTGCGTAGACACTATGAAAACACTAGCTGCTTGTTAAAGTAATTGATAGATATATGTGATAGCATTGTTGTAACTGTCTTCTCACACTTAATTAAATTAAATGCAAATTAAGTTAAATGCAGGTAGAAACTTGCGAGTCAGTCCTTGCACGTATGTTCTAGTTGGTGTTAATAACTCTGTGGCTTTTGGAGTGCAACTCAGGCTGTGTGTTGCAGATTTCTTCATGTGTGTGGTAGCTCTTCTGTAAAATTTGAGTGGCGATTCTGGGCACCTGTCTAGCCCAACATCTTGTCCGTGACACCAAGTGGGTATCAGAGGAAGAGTATGAACACAGCAAACATGCATCATACTTCTCCCGCATACTCTCCTAGCTTCTGACTGTTTCCAGTGTGGTAGGTTTCCCAAGCCAGATGGGGGTAAACCATCCAACGGATTTCTTCCATGTACTTGTCCAGTTTCCTCTTGAACCCAACTCTCAGCATCCTTGACATCCTTTGGCAAGGGGTTCCCTACAGTTTTATTCCCCTCTGCACGAAGAATCATTTCTGTTTGCTTTGAAAACTTTTCCTCTGGCTTCATTTTGAACACGTCTATTCTTGTATTGAGAATGATGGTGAACAGTCTATCCCTGTGCACGTTCTTCATGCCAAGTGTTTTTGTCAACCTCTATCAAATTTCTTTCATAGCTATCTCAGCTTCAGGCTTGAAGAGTCTTGTGCTTTGTGCTAAGACCTAACACCTCTTACATGCTTCTGCCAACAGGTGGCTGTTTTTAATAGTCAACTTTATAAATGCTTTAAGATATTGCTGGGTATGATGTAAGCATATTACTATACTAGTGTATTAAGCATTAAGTAAGCATATTACTATACTAGCCCGAACATAACATGACCTCAGATACAAGGCAGCTCCAGTTCTCACAGAACAGATAGAAAATCGACAAGCTAAATTCAAAGTGCCATCTTGGCAACGTGCCCCTCCTTCCTGGTTTGCTTTCCAGATCTGCTGCTCTGCCTCTTTGCTCTGCCTTTTTGCAAACCTGTGAATCGAAGACATGCCAGAGAGAGGTCATGGCTAGGTTGATATCTGACCTTGACTATTGCTGGTAGTAACCTATGTTCAGATTTAAATTTGACTCTCCTGAATAATCTTCATAGCAAATATTTTCACCTCCTTTGATCCTTTTTCAGTTTCTAAATATGCTGAGCAGCATATGAACATGTACTGGTATCAGCCTTTCTGTGACCTTGTGGATGCAATCTCTTCTCCATTGTGAAAAATGACCATTTTATATTCGTTGCTTTCTTGTCTTTAATGCACAAATTTCCTCTTTATCCCGTAACTCAGATTTTTTAAGAACCTTTGAGGGATTTTTTAAAAGATGTCTTTGAAAAAATCTAACTACGTCGTATGACATAAGTCACCTTTATCCATTTGCCCTAACCCAGTAGTGAGGCTAGTTGTCTGAAGGGATCTGCATGGCTGTTGCTTCATCAGTGATCTGCAACTGCAAGCTCTTACGAAGTTGTAAGTTGTGCTTAAAGTGCAGACCGAGAAAGTTGGATTTTTGTTTTTGAAGTTTTCCTTTTGGTGAATGGGGGGAAGCACCTGACATTTGGGCCAACACGTTATGTGACTATACTCATACCCAGTGAGTGAACTTATTCTGTGTACTACAATATGTAAGAACAACAGAAATAACTGTGATAGTAAAATCTTGGTCTAACTGAAGTTTGTAAGAGTATTTCTGTGCTTTGTAATGAAATCTGGATTTGATTTTTGGCTGTCTTATTTGTGCCTCATACCTCATGAAGTATCTGATACTAATATCACGTTTCTTTTTGTTCCTAGAGAGCAAATCAAAAGGCCTCCAGTGGGTGATAGATACAACCATTGCGTATCCCAAAGGTGAACCTATAGATATCCAAACTTGGATTCTTGGCTACCGACAGCCAACAGTTACACATGTGCATTACAGGTAGGAAATAAACCTTCTACTCTTACATTGAACTAAAATATTAAAAAACAAGTATTCACAAGTTAGTAACATCATGTTTCAGGATATGGGAAATCAGTAGCAATGTCTTTTTTTATGTGCGTCTCACACAGATGGGCAACTCATATTATCTAAACACAACTTTTTTTTCTTTTGAAAAGTTCAGTGACCATTCCATATCTTAGCACATTAAGGTTTTGACTAACATCCTGTGGCTGAATATCGTTATGGGGAATATATTTGATGGATAGGTCATCTTTTCCACTTTAATGTTAAGGTACTGGTAAACCCAAGTTAATTTTTTTTTTTAATAATGACAACAAATTAAAAATCACTGTGTTATTAAATAACAGGTTTATTATAACAGAGATTATATATTGTATTTAACTTTCTGACAAAGAAATGTCAGCTTTTTCACTCAAAGCATGCTCTTAATAGTTGAGCAGAGCAACATTCTGGAAATAGTAGCAAATCTCATTGACATCTAGGATGGGATACTATTAAAACTTTTCTCCTCAGCAGTTCTTTGTCTTAAGACCTAAACCAATGGAGAGAAGTTGCATTTTGCTTTTGGTTTGCAGTTAATTGCAAGTCTGAAATCTCCAGAAATATTTTAACACTCTTCCTATGCCAAATAAGTAGATCACATTTTATTCCAAAATTGCATTATTTTGTCTTAATTCCCTTTTGCTGATTTGGGGAGCTTTTAGATTTTTACAATAAGCTTTCAAATATCCTTGTGCGGATCCCTTGGGTGACAGTTTAACTGGAATGACCTTCTCCAGCATCACTGCTGCCAGTGTTGTATGATGCAGAGTACAGGCTGCTCACTGGAGCTCCTTTCCACAGCCATGTTTAAAAGTACTGGTAAACCCAAGTTAATTTTTTTTTTTATAATAATGACCAAATTAAAAATCACTGTGTTATTAAATAACAGGTTTATTATAACAGAGATTATATATTGTATTTAACTTTCTGACAAAGAAATGTCAGCTTTTTCACTCAAAGCATGCTCTTAATAGTTGAGCAGAGCAACATTCTGGAAATAGTAGCAAATCTCATTGACATCTAGGATGGGATACTATTAAAACTTTTCTCCTCAGCAGTTCTTTGTCTTAAGACCTAAACCAATGGAGAGAAGTTGCATTTTGCTTTTGGTTTGCAGTTAATTGCAAGTCTGAAATCTCCAGAAATATTTTAACACTCTTCCTATGCCAAATAAGTAGATCACATTTTATTCCAAAATTGCATTATTTTGTCTTAATTCCCTTTTGCTGATTTGGGGAGCTTTTAGATTTTTACAATAAGCTTTCAAATATCCTTGTGCGGATCCCTTGGGTGACAGTTTAACTGGAATGACCTTCTCCAGCATCACTGCTGCCAGTGTTGTATGATGCAGAGTACAGGCTGCTCACTGGAGCTCCTTTCCACAGCCATGTTTAAATCTGTCCCTGCTTTTTATAGAAATCTGCCTTCAAGTTTTTCCAAAGGTGAACATACTTACATCCTAATTTATGTAAGGTATCATAATATTTATTGTGCTTTATTCAGGTCACCTTAGTACTCTCTCGGATATCTGGGATAATTGCAAGTTGAATGTATTTAGAATTTTACTAAAGAGTATTTCCAAAAATACTTCATTTAAAAAAGAGAGAAAGTTATCTTAAGTTGAATTAACTCCCTGCTTCTAAATGTGTATATTCAAAATGTATTTTTGAGCATGAGCATCAAAATGATGGAACCTTCCAACTTGAATGTTACAGTTCTTGTAGTACTAAAATTCTAAGAAAAAATATTGGAAATTTTTTATTGTTGGGTGTAGGTTTGTTATTTTCTTCCAGAGGGTCTAAATCACTGGTTTAGACAGGGGCAAGCCTCTCTGTTTTTGTTTGGGTTTGTTTGTTTTCTTTAATAACCTCTAGTTGTTATGGCTGACCCTGTAAAAATATTTGAAGTATGCCACAAATGGAAACTAATGCGGCGGCATGTCTCTGAAGGCTGAGAGCTGGATGTAATACCTCTGAAATGAGAACTGAGTGTCTTGGTTTTAACTGGAGCTTTGGCTAACTTTCCAGCCCTGGTAATTCTTAAATTGGCATGTCAAGTTTAGGCATGTGTCCTCTGGACTGTAAGGGCTTTAGTTGGATGCAGGGTAGCAATTCTTAAAGATGCATTTAACAAAGTACCCTGGCTCTGACAGCGGGCGGTAGCAGCAAAGACACAGGAAGGCAGCCCGTGTGCCATCTCTGCGCATAAACACACGGTGGCTGTAACATGTTCTGAGCAGGCATCGCATCTGGATTGCTCTTTTGGTAGGTGCTGATGGACCTGGTCTTTGTGAACCGTTTTTAACCTGCTTATACTTAGCCTTGTACAATTTCCCATGGCGCAACGTGTAACTGTTCTTGAGGGTGGTAGCCAGGACCACTTCCTTGTTGCTAGTGTTAAGTTCTCCACCTGATGCCTTCAGTGGGAGCACCCTGTTTCCCGTGTCCTGCCACAGTAGTGGATGAATCATTCCTCAGTGACGCTCTCCGTGGCCCGTGATTTTACAGAGCTTTCTCATATCCTGCCTTAGCTGTCCATGTCCCCCTCCTAGCCCAGCAAGTCTTCATCTATTTGGTGTCTCCTTACACAAAAGCCTTTCCCTGATTATCTTGTTATTTTTGTCTGCGCCTTTTCTGGTTCTGCTGTAACTAGTTTGTGAGTTGACTGGCATCCTGAATTCCCCACAGTGATTTCGGGGTCGCTTACCAGGGTAGTAACAGCTAATCTTAGAGGCTGTGGCAGTGTATGCGTAGCTGCTGGTGCTTTTTCCTTCCCCAGTGTTCATTGCCTTGCGTTTACTGGTATTTAATTTCACCTGCAACTATTGTCAGGTCCTTCTGCAACTCTTCTGACTATCCAGAATAATTCTATACCAAAGAAGTCATATCGCTTTTGTATCCTTTTTTCCAGATTTAGCATATCATCTAGCTATGATACGCTAAGACCTTTTAATGTGTCTGGAATTAGAGCTGTAGTTTGGAATGAATACGGTGAATTTTCACCTTCAATGTTTTTGACAATAAAATTTATTTTTAGATATTTTTGTGTGGCTTTAAAAATATTTTTGTTTTACGTAAATGATATATTTATCCATGGCAGGATTAGCAGAGAGTGACTGAACAGCGTGTGTACATGAATTTACTCATGTTGCATCATCCTTTTCTGTTGCTTATACAGAAATTTTCCTGTTGGATTCCTTTCAGGGCATTACAGCAACTGATTTTTTTTATTATTATTATTATTATTATTTCCCAGATCACCTGACTTTACTCATTAGGGGTTATTTTTTTAGCAGAATGCTGTAATGTGATGGGCACCTTCAGGGTTTTGACAACTTTAAATCATGTATCGATGATTTGAACGGAGTTGTTGGTACCACTGAGAACCTGTGAAGATGGAGTATGTGCCTGGGAAACTGGGGGTGGCAGACAGGGAAGAGTAGGGAATAACCGTTCTCTCTGAAGGGGTTTCTGGCCTTAAAGAAAGAGAAAGCCTTACAGCTCTGCTATCACTTCATTGAACCTTCTCCAGGATTGAGAAGCCAGATAATTGAAGCCCAGTGGGGCTTCAATTGATGTCAAATGACATCAATTTCTTAGAGCTTATTTTTGAAATTATAGGTACGGTCAATGGAAAACTGTCTCTCAGGAGCTTTGTATGTGTGCCTCCTAGGCAGCGTCCCCACTTGTCCAAAAATACAGTGGTGTCTCGAGCCTGTTTCTGCGTCAGATCTTAATCAGGAGCAGTTCTGGAAAAACACCAAAGCCCTTTATGCTGGTTAAACAGTGCATGCTACAAACAGCTGTACTTGGTGCCCAGCTAGCTGATCCTTGCCAACATGTCAACCTCCTTCCTCTCATCCCTGGCACTTCTGTTTGGAAATGCAGAGCTGCCTTTTAATGTGCTGAAAAGTGTCCTGGGAGGTTTCTGTGCAGTGTTGCTCCCTGAGAGCTGGTCAAGCCGCGGGGCGGAGGGTGATACACCAGACCTGGGTAGCTGTACGGCTTGACCAGGAAACCTAAACTACTTCTTTAAGTTCATCTTCCATGTGGAGACCAAAACATTGCTGTAACAGAGCCATTAGAGTATCTGGGGTTGTCAGCTGAGAATGCCAGCGCTTGTTCTGCAGGTCACAAATTCAAGGTGGTTCCTCAGTAATTCTAATTGGGTATTAACTACTCTTTGTCCTTAACAGTGTAGGCAAGGATTAAATCAGTGACTGAGGTTTGAAAAGGCCTGTGCTGTGTTGAGCCCTGAGATGTCCCTTGTAAAGTTGGTGCATTTCTTTAACTCTTTGAACCAAACTCAGTTAGCAAAGGAAAACCCAAGGCAAAGTGGACTTCATCTTTAAAAAGATGGAAATGTCAGAAGTGTCTTCCAAAGATGGAAAATGTCAGAGGTGTTTCTATTTTTCTGCTTTTGACATAGATGTCCTCTGAGATTTTCATGAAATGTATATCAAGTATGTCTGGATTGCTGTTATTCCCTCCTTTTCCTTCATTTAGTGCAATAAGATTTTACTCGTTGTTTGTAATTTGGAATGTCTTGGGAGATTACATTTGAAATAAATTTTAAGGGTAATTTTTAAATAACCGGGGAGGGAGAAAGTTCTGCATGAGTCTGTGCTCTAGCGCACTAGTTTCTTGTCTGTCATTTCTTTTAACTGAGTTACAGGAAATAAAAAAAAAAAAAAAAAAAAAAAAAAAAAAAGCCCCTTTGGAAAAAAAAAAGAATAGTTTTGACCAGATGCCATCTCTACTGTATGAAAGGAGAGTCGGGATTTAAACATGCTTTTCCCCTTTTAGAGTAATCCAGAGTGAGGAATTGATGTATGACAGCAGTGGGGGAAAAAGCAACGTTTTCTGAGCTACTCGAACTGGAGCAGAGGAGACTGCAGAGCCTCTTTTGTTCTGGTTGCTCAGTCAGTCTTTTCT